CCACCCTGGCCCTGGGACTGGAAGGCACCCTGTACGTGCTGGACGGCAGCCAGGCGCCCAGCACCAGCATGCGCTGGCTGAGCCCGGGCGGCGCGTGGAGCGCCAACGGCGGCATCGCAGGCGCGCCCCCGCTGATGTGTGCTGCTGCTTATGTGTGCTGGAGCTGGCAGCAGGATGACGCTGACGTGGTGCCTCTGGCTATTCTCCACATGCCCGCCTGGGCGTGTCTGCTGCCGCTGAGCCGCCTCCGCTGCCGCCGGACCAGCTGCTGGTTTGCCGGGTGTGTGTTGCAGGCGGGGTGCGGGTGGCGGCGGATCACCGGCAGGGGTACGCTGTGACCTCGGACCACAGCGTGCAGCAGTACGCTGCTGGCGTGGGATACGTGGTGAGCGGTACAGTTTCAACTCAATGAAGTCACGCTGCCGCCGGCCTGCTGGGCAGCCAGCAGGGGCGCTGGTGCCGCTTGCGGCTCTTGTCGTGTTTGCTGCAGCCGCTCAGAGCATGCAGCCCTCCCTCCGCCAATAAGCGTTCCTTCCAGGCACTTCAGCTTCCTCCCTCCCGCCCTGCCACGCCGCCGCCGCTGCAGACCCTGTTCAGCGGGGTAGCGTGCGACCTGTCTTTTGACACCTGGGGCGTGCCCTGGTTTGTGGGCTGGACCGGCTCCGCCTGCCAGGGTGTGTTCTATTACAGCCAGGCCACGGGCGCTGCCACGCAGGTGGGTGGCGCTGGGAGGGCCCGAGGGTGCTGCATTTTTGGCAGCGTGGCATGCTGGGCACGCTGTGACAGCATGTCGAGGCGGTGGGCACTGCCACGGCGCCGCCTGCCGGCCGTTAAGCACGCAGAATGTCGTCCCGTCTGGTGGCAGAGGTGTGCCCCTGCTGCCGCCTGCAGGTCTATTATGGCCCGGCGCAGCAGCTGAGCGTGGGGGGCCGCGCCGCCGACGGTACCGCCGACCTGGCGGTACTGCTGTCCGACGGCACCGTGCTGCACGGCTCCGCGCCCTGCGCGGCAGGTGCGCCGCTGGCTGGCGGCGCTGTGCCTGCCACACGGGGGTCCCTGACCTGAGCACTGGCGTCGTCAGTGGTGCAGCTGTGAACTTGCAGTGCTTGTACTGTGTGGATGGCAACCCCCCAGGGCGGGCTTGGAGTTGTTTGTGTGCTCCTCCTTCATTACGCTGCAGGCAGCCAAGTGCCGCCGCCGCCGCCACCAAGGCCCCCTCCAACAATCCCGCCGTCTCCGCCCCAGCCCCCTCCACCTCTGCCCCCGTCGCCGCCGCCGCCTGAGCCCGCGCCACCTCTTCCCCCGCCGCCGG